GCATTTAAAATGTGGTTAGTCTGACCTAAGAGGTACCCTGAGTATAAAATATACATCAACTTTTGAATTTAATTTGAAAATCAGAATGTAAAACATATCACGAGTGAAGTTTCAGGTGCAGTTCATTCGTCTGTGCCGTCTTCCTTTCACAGGGGCTCAGTGCTGCCGAGTCGGGGGCACAGTCTGCTCCACGGGGTGCCCCCTTCCCTGGGAGATGCACTGCAGGGTGCGCTGCTGTGCTTTCTGGAAAAAACTGCTTCTGGGAAATGCGGTAAAATGACTTAGTTGACTCTGATTCCTCATTTGAACAATTCAGATGTCACTCCTGTAAATGGCCTGTCGGTTGCAGCCCAGAGACTGTATGGGTGTCAGAACTAACCAGCCCCTGCTCTCACCTTGGCACATCGAGTTCCTGTCCATGAGGTCGTGCATTTCAGACTTCCGTGTCCAGTGTTCTCAAGCCCCTTTTCTTCAGTACGTTTCCTTTCCAGCAAGATCACCAGAGTGCGTGTGTATAATGCAGCTGCTGAAACCCTAATACCGCGTTTCCAAATCTGAGTATATTTCACCTTGTTCCAAAAATCACATTCACGCAGGACAAGGCCTTGTCATTATTTTTATTTCAGATCAAATCACAAGAGCAACCGAAAAGCACGTTTCATCCATCATTGGCTAGAACTACTCTGAGGTAAGAATAGTCTTGTCAAATTGAAAAGAAAAAGAAGTAACACAAACACCCATGCCTTGATCAGACCACCTATGTGTGGCAATCCATTACATGAAATTCATGGAAAGGCATGCCATGTATCAGAAATCATTTCCCATCTATTTACAAAAATTCCGTAAGTGAATTTCTAAGATCAAACCTGGTGCTCCTCGAATCAGTGGGATGTTCCATACATTATTTATCAGCTAATTCCCAAGAATGATCTCAGAAGCCTTGATCTCGTAGCCCTCCCAGCCCAGCTGGGTGCCCGCCAGCTTCCAAGCAAGTCACAGGCACTTACATGCTACATGCCTAAGCCGTGATTAATTATGAAAGAAAACATGCTTTCCTGTGCAAGCTGAGAAGATGGCAGTACCTGAGATGGCCTGGTAGCTTTGTCTTTGACTTTGTGTTCTGATGTCAAGTTACCTGTTCAGTGTTGTCAGTTTAACCAATCTGACCTCCTTCTTTCCTTCTATCCATCTTTAAACTCTGAGGTTCCTTGTGTCTGCAAGACAGTTGGACAGGGTATCGTTTCTATGTCAATGATACCTATATTTAAAATCATCTTACCCAAACATAAGGACACATAAATACAGAAGATTTTTAATTGGCTCTCTTGATGAAGGATGTGCCAAGACAAAATTGTTTTTTTGTCACTGCTATTGCTAAAGGGCAAGAAAGAAAATCACGCTGAATCCTTAAGCACCAACTTATTAGAATAAATGTAACCCTAAGCTTTTGTTCTTCATGGTTTTTTAAAATTTTCCTTTTTTGAGTGCTTGTGTGAAAAACCTGATGGCCAGAGTTCTTTGTATGAGAGGCAGTTTCTTAAAGACACCTGTTCAAAGAGAGGAACAAGTGGGTACTAGGATGTGTAACATTAATTATGTGAAGTACCTCAGAAAATTTCTGAAGAAAGAGTTGCACTGAAACAAATATTGTTTAAATTGTAAAACAAACAGACGCTTGTTGACCAGACTGTGTGTCTCCCTTGCTGGGACAAGTATTGCTCTCATTTTCTTGGATGTGTTTGCAGTGTTGGCAGAAATGCACCAGGAGTAGCAAGTCTCCGAGGGCAGAGAGGGTTCAGTCATGCCGTGGAGCCATGGTGTCAGGCTCCCACCTGCAAAGCCTCCAGCCTCCAGGTACCATTTGTAGATGATGCTCTTGGTGTCTCTGGCTTATCTTTGGCCCACATTTGGTTTCAGCTGCAGGTCGGGTGACCACTTCCAACTCACCTCCCACTGAGTGTCCCAGCTCACGTGCGCCCTGCTAGTCTCTGTAAATTATGCTGTAGGACTGACCTGAGAGTCCCCGAGTCCATGTGCAAGCATAGCCACAAGTATGGGGATGAATGCCCCACGAGCAACACTCAACCCATGGGAGGCGAGAGGCAGAGGATAACCGAGCCAGCCTCCTGGCTACTGGCTAGACGATGTGGGGAAGCATGATGGATTCCTGACGCGGGAGCAGGCGCAGAACTGAGCAGCTAGAAGCTGAGGAGTCCAGGGAAGTATAGGAATTCTACTTGATGATGATGATGATGGTAATGATAATTTGCATTGTAGACAATGTTTCTTTATGTAACAATAGTTGCATTCTGATTATTATTGCTAACTTTTTTTTTTTAATGTCAGAAACTGTGCTAAACATTTCCGACACTTGGGTAGACTGTGAAATGGCCACAATCATCGCCACACCTTGGATAGTCCCCTCTCACATTCATTCTGGGAAGAGATGAGTGCCTCACTTTGACAAATGAGACAACAGCACATGCGATGCAGGCAGAGGCTTGGAAAGTGCTTGCACATCTGGGTGTTCACTCTCCTGCTTCACCTGGACACCAGGGCCACCAAGAGAACGAGCCTGAGCTGGCCTGTTGGGAAAGCCGCGCGGAGCAGAGACCCTGCACACAAGCCCACAGCCTGCCAAGCGTCAGACAGGTGAGTGAGGCCAGCTGAGAGCCTCTGACTCCGAGTCGTAAGAAATAATAGACTTTTATGGTTTTAAGGTGTCAATCTGGGGGTGGTTCGTTATCAATCAAAAACATCAAAAGCTAACCAATATAGACACATTATTTCCTGTAATCCTTTCAGTGTTTATGTGAAGTAGGTGTTGTTACCACCCCTGTCTCACAGGTGGAAAATGGGGGGCTTAGGTTGTTCTCCCCAGAGTCATACACACACGGTAAAATAAATGACAGAGCATTTTCAAACAGTAGTTTTGCTTGATCCCAAAGCTAACTGCCTCCCTGAGATTGTCATATGAATCAAATATTTTTGAAGTCATTGATTAGTTAATTCATTCGCTCCCAAAATTCTTTTGAATACCTACTTTGTGTTAGGTACTCTGTAAGAGACAGGTGGTGCATAAATGAATAAACCTTCAAAATAATCTCAGAACTGATTAAAGGAAACAGACACGTGACCAAATCAGGGCCATGCAGGGCAATAATACAGGTATCTGCAAAGGCTAGTAGGGCATCCTGATAGCACTGGGACGCAGAAAGTGGATGAAAAACAGAATTTAACAATGTATTAGAATTTTGCTGGAAAAGTATTTCTCTGCCAAGCTCTATTGCTGCTAAACATTTTAGATGTATCTCTGGGGCCCAAACACGAAAGTGATTTAAATGCTTTTCACTCAATCTTATTTCAGCTAGTAATCATGGTCTTCCCTATACTCACCTATATATTTTCATTTTAAGAATTAATTCCTTCTTAAGATTTTAAGTCCAACAGCTGCATGCAGTTCCTAACTTAAAACCAGCTTATACATGTATAACTAAAGCATGACACAGGGCAACAGAAACTTACACAACATTGTAAATCAACTATAAATCAAAAATAAAAAACCCCCAGCTTGGAAACACACTCTCAGAACTATTTCCCCTGCTCCAACCACCTTAGTTTGCCCACAGCCATGGGGGTCATTGCAACAGAAGCTTGAAGTGCTTTGGGAACACCAAGCATTCATCAATTTATTGTGGAATATTATATAGTGGTTAAAAAGAATGAGGAGGTTATCTAAGATTGCAAAATAACATATTGCTATGTGGAAACACTGGTGCAGAATTATACACCCAGCAGGTAACATTTATGCTATTATTAATATTATTAGCCAAATACACCCTGCCCCCCCCCCCCGGCACACCAATTTGAATCTAATCCTATGCTTTAGTGTTTTTTTCTTAGCCATTGCAGCACTTTTTCTATCATTTTTCTGAAGGTCACCACCTGCCACAATTCTATGTATGCATGCTTTATGCCATTTAATTGTAAAATCCTTGAGTTCCTATTTGCTAGATGAAATCATACATTCATGGGGGCCTGGGAGGGGTGGAATAAGAGTCAGGTGGAAGAGACTGACCAGGAGAAGATAAGCTTTTGATCTGTTTTTAAAAATGCCCATGGTGTCTGCTTTTCAGCTAAGAAAGGAGACATCAGAAACTTCTCTTTCGTGCTGAATGCCTGCCTTTCCCTGTAACTAAGATGATGAACGTCTTTTTAATTAAACAGACTTTGAGAGTTGGCGTGGCATTTAGCCACCAGGCATGACACTGATGCTATAGAAACACAGTCTGGGTTCTAAGAAGCCAACTTGTGAAATAAAACTTGGCCTGAGCCCAGGTGCCCCCTGTCCTTACTAGAGTCGGGCAGGTAGCTGAATCCTTCTGAACAACAGCTTGATCACATGTCTGTTTCTACGTCTGTAAATATATTTTAACTCCATGTAGTTCTGTATCTGTATACAAGGGTGGTTCTCCAAAGAGTATTTCTCATTTTAAACAGGGAAGAGCTTTTCTGGAGTAAGTTAGAGAGAAGATCTCTGCTGTAGTTAATCTTCTGCTGAATTTCTTCCAGGCTGATTGTTCCTTATACGAGCACCTGCTCTGTGACAGATCGCCTGCTGGACCCTGGACATGCAGGGATGAACGAGTAGCTATCAACCCTCCTGACACGGAGCTCCATTCAATGGCTGGAGACACAGAAAGTCCATAAACGCAGGTCAAGAAAGGAAGTTAGGACCACTTAGCTGGGGTGTGCAGTGAGTCCCCTCAGGGAAATGACATGTGAAATGAGGATGGAAAGATGAGCAGGAGTCCCTGCAGGAGACACAGGGACTTCAGGTCAGGGGAACAGCATGTGGAGAGGATTAAGCCCGAGAAAAAGCACTGGCTTGACCCTGGGGCAGAGAGGAGGCCACTATGACCAGAGCAGGGACTGATAAGCCGTTTTGGTGAAAAGCCAGATGATAAATGTGTTAATCTTTCCAGGCCGTGCAGTAGTCCCGTCTGTCTCAACCACTCACCTCGAGTTACAGAGCAAACGCAGCCATGGACAATATGGAAATGAATGAACAATATGGAAATGAATGAGGTGGCTGTGGGCCAATAAAACTTGACTTACAAGGACAGACAGGAGGCTGGCCTGAGCCTGAGTTTGTCAGTCCTTGGACAAGAAATACGAGTAGAAGGCAGTGGGGTTCCACGTTGAGGCAAGAGATGGCCAGAGCATGCGACGTCCTGGATCTGGAGCCCCCAGGGAAGAAAAAGGTAAGTCCTGGGCAAGCCCACCTGGATGGAAGTGTTCCTCCCATTCGGCACCTTTGTGATCTCGGGAAGTAGCTTAGCCTCCCTGGATGTTCGTATCCTCCCAGAGCAAATCCCGCCTGCCTGGCAAGGCAGTTAGGAGGACTAACTGAAACATACATGTCTGCTAGGTAATAGACACATTCAGTTAAGTCACTAAATCTCAGTTCCCTCCATCCCAGGTGAGGCATCTGTTATGGCCTGGAATAAAAAAGGAGGGTGCTTGGTTTGTGAAGGGGCTTGGCTGTAAAGCTCCGCCCCCTACGGGGCCCTCACAGGGTTCCCACGACCCAGCCTTTGGAGACTGGCCCCTAATTCCATGGAGCGTCTTTACAGATGGAAGGAGGGCCCTGCTGCACATTTAACTTCTCAGTAACTCTGGAGAAATGATGTGAAAACATTTTTTTTAATTGCACAGCACAGATTTAATTTAGTTTCTCTTCCTATGATAATTTTGTGATTTAAAAAAAAATTTTTGTTTTTAATTAAGAGCAAAGGGCATTTTACATTCTGTGTCAGATTGGGGTAAACATTATTGCTTCTAATAAGCAAAAACGAGGGAAAACTTCCTACCCCTTAATGTCATGAAAAGAATTACTTCTGTTTCAAACTTTGGGGCCCTGGGGACTGGCTGGATAAAATACGAAGGAGCTGTAAAATTGTCATTTTTTCAAGTATATATGATGAGATATGTAATTAATCATAACAATTATATGACTTAATTATACTATATAATTAATATATATTTTTAAAATTTTATGATTGGACCTCTCAACGTTGTGTCTGTGCAGTTTCACAAGCGCATGTGTTTTCAACACACTTAAGAATCATCACACTGCTAAAATGAGAAATGTAAAAAGATTTTGCCATGCTTGCCTAGTGATTTGCTTAAATGATGACAAGCAGACTCAGGAATTTTATTTCTAATCCCATTTTCTGAATGACTGAGCCAAGGACCATGAATACATGAGAAATAAGAGGAGAAAACTGCTACTGCGGGGAAGAAGAGCTGCTGACTGACTCCCCTGGTGCCCAGCGGGTTCGACGCTCCATGCCGTACACCTTGCTGCGGCCTGGAGCGTCTTCCCGACTGAGAGCCGGCGCAGGGAGAGAGCCCGAGACCCTGCATGCGAGGGGAAGGGATGTATTTAGAAAAGGATCTGAGCGATTCTGAGTTGAAATCTAGCCAAACACTGATTTTTAAAAAAACTGAATAATCAGAAAAGATCTGCACATTCGGCGGTAATGTCTACTCTACTTTGTGCTTCAAAACCAGTGAGTGTAATTTAATGTGCATTAGTCTCATTTGGGTTCTTTTTAGAAATGAAGATTCAGGGCCCCACGCACGAAGATTCCAACTTAGCACATCCGAGGCAAGACCTGGAATCCGAATCTTCATTAAGGGCCCTGGATGATTTTTGCAAAGGTGAGCTGCATGCCGTGCTTTGAGAAGCCCTATAAGCAATGAACTAGCTCTTGAAAAACGGCCAGCTTTTTAAAAGCCAACTTATTTACAGTATATTTCTCTCCCCTTTTTTTTTTTTTTGCCTAATGATCAGAACATCCCAATATGCACTCATAGACGCCAACCTGCAAATTTTCAAGAGTTAGGCCCAAGTCATTTTTCTCACAAACTCAAAAGGTCTTTTTTAGAGTTAATTGGCCAAGAAGGAGGAGAGTGCAAACGGCTGCTTTGATGTAACTGCCGCCCACTGCTGGTTCTCACCACCTCTGAGCAGGTGTGGGAGTCATGAATCATCCCTCCTGATCACTCCTGGCATTTTGCACCTGATTGTTTTAGAGGCCAAACTGTTGTGTGAGAAATTTAACTTGTCACTGCTGTCAGAAAGTTTTCAGGAGGATGTTCGACACTTAAACATTTCTTTTTTCAAGTCAATAATCTAGGAGACTCTACGCCCATTTCTTTGGCTATTTCAAACATGCTTATCCTGGAAGGAAACGATTTTCAATGGAGATTAAATAAATACCTACGCACATAATCCCAGAAAACCTAGTCTCAAATGCAATCATCACGTAAGTGCTGTGGGTTATTCTCTATCAACTTGTCTATTATCATGAGCTAATTTAAGAGACTATTTTTTACTAGAGACATAGAATTATTTTCATTTCTCTGTACAAAATGCTCACACTAGGGACCATACACATAGGTTGCTGGCTATAGAAACTGCATTGCATACAAAATTCCAGAATGAGAATGAAAAGAATAACTAATACTAAAAGCTACACTTACCTCAATGGTTTTATAATTACCATTTCTGAGAACTTAGTACTAGAATCAATGCCCTACACATATTAACTCATTTAATCCTTGGCAGGCCTCTATAATCATTTGTGAAGGTGGAAACTGAGTCTTAGAATGTTAGGTAACATTCTCCAGACCACACAGATGGAGCCCACCTCCCAAACGCACTCTGTTAATCATGACACAAAACTGACTCCATATTGCTTTTGCCTGGCTGGCTTCCTGCCTTCTTACAAGCTGTGCAAACCTACATTCAACCTCACCAAACTACAATTTCCATCTCCAAGAAAATGAACACAATGAACAACTTGAATGGGTTATTTTAAAGAGTGAATGACAAGGTAGGAGTTAAGTGTTTCATGAAGTTCTATGTACATATAGAGTATTAAGAACACCACTAAAACCATCCTGATATTGTCACATTAATATGGGAGCATCCAGTATCAATTCCTGCCTTAAATCTGTTTATCCACTTGACATTCAACCACAGCTACACAAAACCTAGCTTAATTGGAGGTGCCTGGTGGTGCAGGCACTGGGGATTTTCAAAGGTCAACGCCATGAGCCCAAGCTGGTCATTGATATGACTGACACAGACAGCCACAGTCAACTTGCCTTGCCTCCTCTTCCCTCCAGAGCATTTGCTTAACATTTGCATGCAAGCATTTATGACCAAATTTACAGTTGTAAGTTAAGAGTAGGGACAAAGGTCATAGTCGCGTGGGTGTCAGGAAACTTAATTCTGACTGTGACTTCTATTTTTCTTGAGAACAAAGCCCAATGAAGCTGATCTTTAGAGTCAAAGAGGGATTAAATTAAAAAGAGGCTATGTTTCTGATTTCCCAGAGGTGCTGAATTGGCGTGCTCCGAATCTAGGCTTCTGCATTTTCTGTGGCTGTGGTTTATATGTTTGTTTCCATTCTGAGCATTGTCCTGCAGACTGGGGAGAGCTCAGGCAATTCAGGGTACAAGGCTGATTTCTCTTTTTGCCAAGTGCAAAGTTTGTTTGCAAGAAAGTCATTATTTTCTAAAAGCATTCTAGTGAGCCATTAGCACTGTGGTCCAATAGCCAGATGTGGGGGCTTCACACACACCAACCTGTGATGGCTTCTTTTGTGCTTATTGACCCGAATGCAGTGTGGGAAAGTTTGCATCTATCCTTTCTTGGGTCTCAGAGGAACACTAGCTAAGAGAAAGCCTGGATAGAGTGGAAGGAGCAAAGAAAGAGCATTCATCGATCACTTATTAAGTGTGAGGAGCTGTGTCCATCAGCTGTGGGTGCTGATAACAACCGCCGCCTGAAACATTACTGAGCATGGATTCTTGCTAATTTCTGTGCATTGTCTCTCATTCGCCCAACAACCCTGTGAGGTGAGTATTCTTTTTTATCTCTACTTTATAAATGGAGAAAAAGGATCATGGCCCCAAGAGGTTGATTAACTTGTCCAAGTCTAGGAAGGTGGCAGAGCTGTGACCTGAACCCAAATCAGGCCATTTCCTGTTCCAGAAGCGTGCTAGGGAGAAGGGTGCAGTGAAGTAGCGTAACTGAAAGGTATTTAACCAGAAAGGGTAACAGATTAGTTGATCAATTATAAATTTTCATATTGCAATGTAACCACTGCTTACCCTATGCTTTGGTTAAGAAAAGTAAGGGAAAAAAAAAGACCCTGGGGTTGTCAGCAGGGGTCAGACAAGGGCGTCTGTCTCTCGTAACTTTGCAGTGGATGGGTATCTGCTCTTCTGAGGAGCTTCCATCCATCATCCTCTTTGTAAGCATCCTCAGCCTTTTAGGGGACCACTCCTCCATTTTCAGTTTCCCTGGTTCGGACGGAGTTCTAGCTCTGGCTAGCCTGCACAGTTTCACCTCCTTGGCCAATGTGACTGGTGCGGGAGCAGGTACGCCACCCAGTCTCAGCAGGAAGCGTGTCCGCTCTCTGCCCTGGACTGGCTGGGCGCCCCTGCTCTGAACCTGAGACTAACGCCAGTAAAGCCAGGGGCAGGGCTGAAAGATGGGGAGAAATTCATGTGTGATGATAGCATTTCTGCCTCCGACAAACTTCAGTCCGTGTTACAGCAGTCTCACCTGTGACCTCTAAAATCACTTAGGGCATTGACTCTCACTTCTGGCTTCAGCCGGGTTGGGCTGGCTTTTTCTGTCACTTGCAATTGGATGTGTCCCGTTTGTTACTGCATCTACCCCATCTAAAGTGGGAGGGAGACTGGGGGCACAAAATGAGCTGTGGACTTCCACTCTGAATACCTACATCGGACTCTCAGCTCCATCGTTGATCAGCTATGTGACCCTGAGTGAACCCCTTCATCATGCAGAATGTCAGTTTCTATTTCTATAAAACATGGACATAAAAATCCATTTCTCTGATGTTGAACGTAGGGCCACAGGATGATAAGAAAGAACTTTGAGAAGAGCAGAGAACTGCATGGATGGAAGGATTCTTACCTATCATCTAGGCCAGCTAGAACTGTAGGATCGTCACTGCATGTCTCAATCCAAGCATTTTCCTTAGCTGAAGTGCTGATGGATTTACTTCTGGTCACTTTAGGTGCTGTAATTTTCCCTGCACTTTCCAGGGAAACAGGAGAAGCATGATGATGTTTGTCTTATTCTGAGATAAATCAACATTTCCTGTTTCCATTATTCAGTTTACAGGAAGCATACCATGTATTTGCATATACAATTAGGAGGCTTAAAAACCAAGCCTCAAAATTATGCTCTATTACAATGAATGTCAACCTGTATGTAGAGGAAGGAAGACAAGGAAAGTTTTCTTAGTCACTGATGAGTAACTAATCACGTTACAACTCGTTTTGAGAAATGGCACCTGTGTGGTTTGGAAACAATATAAAAATAACACACAATCTGGATTGAAATTAAGGTGGTGTCATTCAATTTAAATATTTCTCACATATGAAAAAAAAACTGCCACTCATTAGATTGTTCTCCTTTGAAGGGAGAATGGAGTGCGTTTCCCTGATAGACGACTGTTCAGTTGACTGACTAGAGAAATGCTGCAGACGAGCGCTTGTCAGAGTTGATCTGAAATCTTAGCACCCACTCAAAAGTCTATGCAGATTAAGGGATGCAAGTCCTAGTAAAATGACCACCTGTAGTAGGATGTGTGCGCAGTTGTTAACTGGTATGTTCCAAAGTAGATTTATATGTTTCAGCCCCTGTCCAGGTAGTCCCCGGAGCAGACTTGCTATCTGATGTGCACTTGGGGGCGTAGTAATTACTCAGACACCGACACAGCTTCTCACATCACTCACTGTCATCAGCAGCTCTGTCTAGAGCTCAACCCCCCCCCCGACTCTCCCCCTGCTGTGCACTTATGTACTCTCAGAATTAATACGTTAAAATTCTAACCCCCTATCGGATGGTATTTGGCAGTGAGGCCACTGGGGCGTAATTAGGTCATGAGGGCAGAGCCCGTGAGAATGGGGTCAGTGCGCTTACAAGAGAAGATTCCAAAGCTTACTTCTGCTCTCTGCTTCCCGCTGGGTGAGGATATAATAAAAACATGGGCTCTCACCAGACTCTTCACCTGCTGCCGCCTTCATCCTAGACTTCCCAGCCTCCGGGTACGAGGCAGGGTTTGCCAGAGAAACACAACCACTAGGACACATACGGATCTCTACAAGGAGACCTATGGGAATTGCTTCACTCAGCTACGGTGGCTGCGGAGTCCCACAGTCCGCTGTCTGCAGGGAACCAGGAAAGCTGATGGTGCAATTCAGTCTGAAGCCGAAGCCTTTTGATTCTATTCTGACTCCCAGTGGATTGGCTGATGTCCACCTGCAACGGTGAGGGTCATGCTCTCTGCTCCGTCTACTGATTCACATGCTGATCTCTTCCAGAAACACCCTAGACAGTGTTACACTCGCCGTCTGGGTGTCCCTTAGAGAAAACTGGCAGGAAGCTCAGTCAAGTCAGGTCACCATTAATCTAAGTTCTCTAGGAGACTGCATGTGCCCTCAGAGTCAGCATCTGATTTAAAGTGCTGTTTCTCTGACAGGATCCTGGGTTCCAGGAATCAAGGGGCAGAAATGAGAGTGCGCCACTATAGCTAGTGACCAGCTAGCAGAAGTTCTGCTTCCTGTTCTCAGGAGTTTATGCTCTGCTGGCCTCGAGGTAGAGCAGTTCCAGAAGGAGGAATGCTTCTACCAGGAGACCCAACAATGACTCCTCCTTGAACTGGACGTTTAAACTGCCACCCGGCTACTTTTTTTGGACCCTCGTGTCATTCATAGGCAAAGGATGGAGTTACAGTGTCGGCTGGAGTGACTGACCTGAACTGCCACGGGGAACCCGGACTACTGTTCCACAGTGGAGGCAAGGAAGGGTAGGTCTGGAACAGAGGAGATCCTTAGGGCTTCTCATAGCATTACGTTGCCCTGTGATTAAGGTCAGTGGAAAACTACAACCACTCAAACCAGGCAGAACTACTAATGGCCCAGATCCTTCAGGAATGAAGATTTGGGTCAGTCCTCCAGGTAGAGAACTATGACCAACTATGATCAACTATGACTTGCTGAAGGCAAAGGGAACACAAAATCACTAGTAGAAGGAGGTAATTAAAAATTCCAGTTATGACCACATAACTGTTTAGAGAAATTAGAACTGATGGCGATTGAATACTTCTGCTTTATTTTATTATGAATATGTCTATACACATATATTAAGCAAATATCTGTTTTCTTTCCTCATTATCATATCATATAAGATGTATCCGCTTCATATCAATATTTAAATACTGTTAATTTAAAATCATAATGTTTAAGTTATGGAACATCAGGAGAAGAGTAGTCATCACTCAAGGACTTCCTCTCCCCTTCTGGGAAGGGGCTTAGCGCAGTGTCAGTTGTGTGCACTCTGACTGTATCATGGTAGGTGGCGTTACAGCCTTGCCATTATCTGTATTTGATGATTAAGTATGGTTTTAGGAGATGCATATGGGTGACAAGAGAGGATCTATGATGGTTAATTTTGTGTGTCAACTTGACTGCACTAAGAGATGTCCAGAAAGCTGGTAAAACATTATTTCTGGGTGTGTGTGTGTGTGTTGAGGATGTTTCTGGAAAAAATTAGCATTTGAAATTGGTGGACTGAGTAAAGCAGATGGCCCTCGCCAATCAACTGAGGGTCTGAACAGAATGAAAACTAGGAGGAAGGGTGCATTCATTCTCTGCACTGGAACATCCATCTTCTCCTGCCCTCTGGTATTTGTACTCTGGTTCTCGGACCTTCAGACTGGGATGAATTACGTCACAAGATTTCCTTGTTCTCCAGTTTACAGATGGCAGACCATCAGACTTCTCAGCCTTCATACTCATGTGAGCCAATTTCTATAATACATTTCTCCTTCTCCCTGGAGAACCCTGACTAATACAATTCATAAGGACTTGCTTTTGGTTCTTATGGATCTGAGTTGAAGTTCTGGCTCTGTTACATATTAGCTGCATGATCTTGAGCAAGTTACTTAATCTCAGCCTTAGTTTTCTCAAGTATAAAATGTGTATGTAGTACCTACTCCATGGTAGGCTTAAATGACATAAGCATGGAAGGCATTTAGGACACTGCCCAGCACAAAATAGGTTTACCCACACACACAAGCACACTCAGGATTAGCTCTTATTTCTGTCCTATGATTAATTCTTGAAAACTAAAAAAAGTGTAAGAATAAAAAGCACTCAGAATTCCATATCCAGAGATTTCCAACACATATTTTTGCTCTTAGTAATATTTAAAATATTTCTTTTTAAGAATTAAAACGGGGATCATAGTGAAGAGTGTGTTCATAGTGTATCCACTGTATCATGAATATTTTCCAATCTTATGAAATATTTCTTTGAAGTATGCTTCTATGTAGCTACATGTGTTTTCATCATAGCAATATATGAAAAATAAGTGATTTTAAAAAATGGCACCCATTTATGATAAAAACTCTCACCAAAGCGGGTATAGAGGGGATATATAATCAACATAATAGGAGCTGTTTATGACAAACCCCCAGCTAGCATAATACTTAATGGTGAAAAACTGAAAGCCTTCCCACTAAAATCTAGAACAAGACAAGGATGCCCACTCTCACCACTTCTATTCAACATAGTTTTGGAAGTCCTAACCACAGAAATCAGGCCAGAAAAGAAATAAAAGGGATCCAAATCGGAAGAGAAGAGGCAAAATTATCACTATATGTGGATGACAAGATACTAGATACAGAAAACTCTAAAAGCTCCATACAAAAAACTACCAGAGCTGATAAAACAAGGTTAACATACAGGATTCAGTAGCATTTCTTTACACTGACAATGAAATATCAGAAAAGGAAAGTAAAGAAACAATCCCT